AGGAAGGAAGGAAGGAAGGAAGGAAGGAAGGAAGGAAGGAAGGAAGGAAGGAAGACATTGTAATGATAAAACAAATGAAATCCTGCCATTTCTGTAGTCCCCAGGACAAGAATGCCTGGGTTACAAACAACCCGTAGTTAAGAACAGAGCCTATTGTAGCAAAATTCAAATTAAATACACGATTCGAATTAAATACACAATGGTTCAAGTTCATTACACAATACTACTTATACAGTATTATACAATATTGTTCTGGCTTACATACAATTTAAGGACAGACCTTGGGAATGGAACTCGTTCTTAAACTGGGGACCACCTGTATCTCTTTTTTCTGTTTTAAGCAGATGCTCCCTTGAATCTAAGTGTGCATGTCATCTCCAATAAATGACAAACAAGAATAGCAGTTCTCAGGATTTTTAAATACATTTTTGTGACTTATTTCACACTCCAGAATAGACCTAGATGCTAAACTTCAGAAGTTGTTCTGAGGACCTGGTATAGCTTGCAGTGAGGCTGCACCCAATAAAGTAATTTGGTCTTTCTTGTCTGAAAAAAAGTTAGTCTTTCCTTTCTTTCTAAGACACATGTTTAATCTCAGGTTTCTGGCAACATAAAGCAGCAACTCAATTTACTAGTACTATCTGATAGGCTGGCAGAACCAGACTCTAATCTAGATATGATGCTATTTGGCAGAAGTCATTAGTACAAAGCAACCAAACCTTCATGCCTAAATACAAGCGACAGAAAGTAAGTCTGTCCTGTAGACCACACTGTCTTAAGCAGCATCCACACCAACAAAAAGAATGAAAATTGAAACTGATGAAGAGTATCTGTGCCAGTAACAGTGGCCTTACCGAAAGAAATCTTGTGATGGTGCCCTGTGTATAAGCATTACAGGTCTAATAGATCTTTTCATTTGCAGGGTTGCCTGGTCCACGAGGATTCAAAGGTAATAAAAATTAGTGTTTTGTTCATTGAGTGGAACCAAAAGGTAGTAATATAGTCATTGTCAAGTTACATGATTGTTCATCTTTCTCATAGGTGAACAAGGCCAGCCAGGTCTCCCAGGATCTTCTGTTCAAGGTGAGTCTAAATGTATGTTCCTTCTTTTTCAGGATGATATAACACAGTCCGAAACGTGACTACTCAGAATAATAATGAGTCACGCTGATTTAACGGGGCTGACTTCAAGATAAGCAATAGGTCATAATCTACCATATTTTGTATTGGCAAATCTGTGTTGGTAAATGTTGGTGCATAGTTAATAAGGAAATTAGCCTGTTCTGCCACCTTCAGGACCATACCTGTGTAAGAGGTAATCTTTCTAAATGTGTGCTTGTTATAACAGCAACTTTATTTAAAATATTTAAGGTGTATGACATAATGATACAGATGAAAGCTGTCCCTAGATGAAAACTGTCTTCCCTCCCCTGTTACCAGTTCCCCTTCAATTCTCCATGATTCCTTATCATCTCTTTTAGGAGGTACTGGCATTACTCTTCAAGGACCACCTGGACATCCTGGACCAGCTGGGCCACCTGGACCTAAAGGAGACAAAGGTTTGGGCAAAGAGGGGCTGCTCTTTCCACAGACCACCTTATCAGGGTCTTGAATTCCAGTTGGTAGAGAGATTGGTGCTTCTGATACAGTGTGAACATTCTCATTTGAAGTTGGCTATTCATTTTTTTTAAAATAATGTTTAAAAAGATATAAACAATGTTAGCTTTCCCTTTGAGAAGACTCTTTTGCTCCTATTCTTCCTCAATAGGACAATAAAGACTGTTCTAGCCTGCTACATAGAGTAATGGTCTCATATAATCAAAGAGTCACCTTTTGGACTTACATAATGGACATTTTTGTTCCTCCATTACTTTTTTTTTAGGTGATGCAGGTGTACCAGGTGCCCCTGGAATCCCTGGAGGAGGTAAGGAACCCTTCATTTTATTTGCACTTAGAATATACACATTTGCATGTGATGTAACCCTAATGATAAGGGTATATACAATGCAAGGGTAAATACAATTTCAATTTTAATTTCTCTGAAAAGTTTGTATGTGAATAACAGCTCCATACAACAGTATCAGGAAATACTATCCTGAAAGTGAACCACCCTGATTAGTCATATTCTTAATTTATCTAAACATCATGCTTTGAAAATATAGGTGGGGCTATTTTAGCACAGTAGCTGTAAAAGTTTAAAGACTCAGTCCAATGTAGCTTTTTAAAGCTCTGAAACAAGAGCTTGCTGTATAGAAAACTCTTGCCCAGAAGTGAACTAAATAAACAGTAGAATTAGACATTCAAATTCATGAGCATGTTCCTGACTGGCATGGGTGGAAGAAAGGCTGCATTCTTTGCCCCAAATAAACACTGCAAATCTGGCCTAGATTTGCTTCATTTAATTGATCAGATTCTGTTAACCAGAAGGAAGGACAAAGGTGCTCTGCACTGGCGTGCCTACATACCCAAATCTTTTCCCTGTGAATGTTTTCTTTTTGCCTTTTTATTTCCACAGGCAGGCTAGGGTGGTGTAGGTAGGGGGATTCCAGTAAGGAGAATATCAAAGGGTATTATAATTAAAGTAACTTTTTTCTACAGCTGGATCAAGAACTTCTCAGGGCCCTCCAGGTCCCCCGGGCCCTCCTGGACTTCCAGGAGTTGGAATTGGCTCAGTTCAAGAGATCCAACAGTATGTCTCTGAGTACCTACAGAGTAAGTTCGTACAGTGGTTTTACATGGCTTTCCACAAAGCCATATATTCTGTACCAGACAGATGACAATATACATATACTAAAACATTCATAAAGTTTGAAGCTGTCCTCAGAGACATTCAGCTTCCCACATTGAATGCCCTGAGATCAAGGGCAATTTTGACCAGTTTCCTACAGGGTAAAAAGGTGGTGTCTTACAACCTCAGGGAGCAAGCTGTTGCAAAGTATGAAGGCTGAAACTGAGAGTGCCATTCTCTGGGTCCCAACCCCCTGGATGTGTCTAGCAGTGGGTATTCTCTGGGTATCTAGCACTGGGTATCCTTTCTGCTAGACTGTGTACAGTGGGCAGATTCTGCCTGGAAAACAAGGGCCCCAGAAGTTGCATAATGGATATGTATTACATCAGAGGACCTGGAGACTGAGGTGGCAACATTATACACTGTAATGTTTGAAAATGAGGGTGGGATGAGACCAGATCTAATATGGTCCACTCCTTGGTGTTTGGGGGGGAAAAAAACATCCTATTTGTAAAGGATAGAATAGCATATGAGTAGTCCTGCCCTTTCTTGTATTCATTTTCTCTTAGCAAGGAGACTTTAAATGGGGAGGGGAGTGTAACATTTAAAAAATATGACTTAATCCCTGAAGTCTGAGAGGTATAGTGAATAATTTTACCATCTTTATTATCACCTCATTTAACACAAAGCATGGGCTGGCTTAAATACTTTCATAAGTTCCAAGTCATAGACAACCCTTCCCACAGGTAAGTAACCAAGTCCTTGGTTTTCTTCTGACATGGAAGTGAGAAATGTCCAAGAAAAGACATTTGCTTTCAAATTTCTCTTTTAAAATATTATTTTGTCATGTTTCCTTTCCTAATTAGCAATCAGATTACACCTCAGCTGCCAAGATTTGTGTAACTTAAAGTACAGAAATGTTTTCCACAACATGCATTGCATAGCAGGGATAATGATCCATTAATTTAATTGGTCTTGGTGTATGCTTCTTCCCAAGTGAGTGAGAAAAGATAAACTGGTCTTCCTCTTATTTCGGCATCTTATGGATGCCCACAGACACCATCTAGTGTGGCTAGTAGTCAGAATTGATAGGTCTAATAATGAAGGGTATCATGTTGGGGAAAGCTGAGCTGTGTTTATATGCCATATAAACAATACTTATAAGGGAAAACAACACGTTAGGAACTTAGAATCTGGATCCCCAAATGCTCTAGTCAGGTGTTTCTTGAATCTGAGGTAAAAGCTAATTATATTAGGAATGCTATGGAAAATTTATCTTTATAGTTTCCCTAGATGGTTCAGACAGATTTCCAAGAGAACCTGATCATAGCATTAATCCATCTCTGTAGTAATTTAACTTTGTTTTTTCTTTCTTATTAGGTGATAGTATTGGCCGTTATCTGATTGGACCACAAGGCCCGCCTGGACCTCCAGGAATCACCATTGGTGCCGAATCTTTGGACTATGGTGAATTGGCCCGTCGTGTTATGAGCTACATATCCAGTAAGGCCCATATTTTTATATACTTAGTTTCCATTTCTTCAGTTATTCTTCATCTTTACACATGAAACTACAGAACTGGTCTGTATGAGATATATTAATTATTTGGGCATTGCTACCATACTGAACGTGGGTGGGTTGCTCCTTTTCATTGCCTCTAGTTGAATCCCAACAGTGTCCTTTTGGCATAGTGGAAGTTTATCAGGAATAGGAAATAATTTTAATGTGCTGAATAGATTGTGATGTCATTCTGATGCCCTACTATCAGATTGTTAAGCACCTGCTCTCTCATTATCATCTACTTTCTTTGTTATATGTTAGAAATATTTGTACTGTATTTTCGCGTCTTTGTGAACTTACAGTTTATGTTTTTGACTGCTTTTCTTTCTCTAGCTTCAGGCTCCTCATCTTCTATCTCCTCATCACTGTCTTATGAAAATCTTCGTGCCATGCTGCAGAGTAAGTAAATGCTCCAAGACTAGTAAGTGGTTCATTCGCTTCTAGTGCCATGCATTTTAAAGAAATAGGGGAAAACGCTATATACAAGTGAAATTGTCTTTGAATTATTTGGTGCCAGTATCATAGGTTACATCTACTGTAGACGTAGGTATAACTAGAGCTTGATTCAATAGTTCTAAAAGTATAAGAAGAACTCTGCTGGATTAGGCCATCAGTCCATTTCTTCCAGCATTCCGTGTCACAAGTACCCAACTGGATGCATTGGGGAAGCTCACAAGGCTGGAAAGAGAGTGATTTCCCCCTTCCTCCTTTGCTTCCCAGCAATCAGTATTTAAAGCATGCTGCCTTTGATTGAGGAGGTAATAAATAGATTACATGATCAGTAGCTTTGGACATCCTGATTCTTCATGAACTAGTTTTCTTTTAAAACTATCCAAGTTTGCTGCCATTACAATTACTGGCAATGAATTCCAGAGTTTAACTAGGTGCAGTAGTTAAAGAAAGTGACTTCTTTCTATCCACCCTGATTTCCCTGTATTTATTTGCAGTAGATGACCACAAATTCTTACACTGTGAAAGAGGGGAACAACTTTTTTTATTCATGTTATCCATGCCATGCTTTATTTCATATACCTCTATATGTCTCCCCTTAAACTTTGTGGTATTATTTTATTTATTTATTTTTATTTATTTATCAAATTTATATGTTGCTCATCTCACTATACAGTGACTCTAGGTGGCTTACACATAAAAAATGATAAACAGTTTAAAAATCTGTCTCTTTCTCTCTTTCTTTCTCTCTCTGTCTCTCTCTCTATATATACTGTATACTGTATGAGTTAAAAGATGAAGAAAGCATCATCAAACCACCAACCACCCCCAGTGCTGCAAGCCCCCATTAGACCCCCATGCCCTGCAGTATGACTTTGGCCATAGCTTAAACAATCTCCAAATGGATGTTGAGCTCACATAAATAATTTTTATTTGGCTCAGCAAAATTCAGTAATAGAGAAGTTACAGTATTCACCAAACTCTCAAGATGGAGAGCAAGAAATGCACACAAATGTTGGATATATAAGAAACAAAATAAAACATATTTATCAAGTTTAAAGGAACATCACATTTCACTTTTCTTTGTTCCAAGCTGAAGTACCCCAAACTACCTTATGTATAACTAGTCAGCTCAGAAAACTAAGAATCAGCAGAGAGAACATTTCTAGAAGTTGAAAAATAGTAAAGTATGTTAAAAATAGCCAAAAAAACTGAAATATTGTTGGTTTTGGAAGCACCAAAACTCAGAAAAATAAACACTGCATGTTTTTTTAATCCTTTCTTTAGGTGAAGAGGTTCGTTCATATCTTATTGGACCTCAAGGTCCCCCAGGTCCCCCTGGGCCACCTGGACTGGGAGGAGATGGCTTAGCTTTGTCACTGGACTATGATGAGTTGACAAGACGTGTTGTCAGCTACATGACAAGTAATGACTTCTTTTATAACAAGTTTTATAGTACGTGTAGTGATTCCATTGCACAATGTGATTTTCTCAATGACACACCATGAAAGATAAATTGAATGCTCTGTACTGTTCATTGTAATCCCATTAGAAAAGTTGATTGCCAGATACTGTGTAGGAATGTAATAATGTCTCAACCCAATTGTTGCTACCCTGTATCTGTTATGGTATCCCTTTCTCTCACTATAATGGACTTGTCCTAGTTTAGCTGACATTGTGGGAACTATTTTAAGTTAGCTTGCAATATCAACAAAATAGGCACTGGTCAAGATATTTTCATGCAATATTTCATCTTTCCCTTATATTTGGTGGAGAGAGGGGGACATAAGGGCCATTATGTTTGAATGAGACCCTGCTGTAATCAGTGTGAAAATATACTCATATCTTTTAAGGATCTCTCGTAATTTACTTACAAGAAGAATTGTAGAAAATACATAAAATCATTGATTTCCATCTGCACTAAACCGTCCATTTGTTGTGGACAGATTTTGATTGCTAGTTTACAGAACTGCTTTGGGAAAAGGGAAGCACTGATCATTTGAATTTTTTTTTCAGGAATTAAGTACATGAGGTAGTTATTTTTAGAACTCATCAAATCTGTTTACAAATGCCTATACAACTCTTTCAAAATAAAAAAAAATATTATGTATGGATGCTCTCAGCAAAGCATTTTGGTCAGATCTGCATCTTCAGTATACTGACTGGAATATATTCTTGGAAGCAGAAAACTGAAATGGGGATTGTAACCTTGAGACAAATAATAGGACAGAAATTTGGCAAAAACATGTCAAAAGACATCAATGACTACAAAAATTAAAATGATTTGTAATTTTAATCACCTATAATTGTTAACTACATAAAAAAAAGAATACAAAGGTTTTTTTCCCTTACAAGGGAAGCTAGACTCATGTATGGCAAAATCAAGGCAAATATCTCAGCATGCCTCCAGGCAATTGCTTCTAACTCTAGCAGTCAAAGCAAGTTTTAAAGATGATAAGGAAAAAAAATGGAATAGGTGGTAGGAAATCATTGGAGGATTTAAGATTTTTGTTTACTCCCCATAACATTTCAATATCATGTTAGCCTGATGTGAAAGCATCTTTAGCCCAATCATTTTGGTAAGACTAAATCGCCTCCTGAAACTAACTTGTATCTTTTGTCCACACTCTATGATCAAATGAACATGAACTTTGAGACTGCCTAATTTCCTCAGGTTTTCTGAGGAAATATACAGTGTGGCTCTTTCCAGTTTTCTTAATCATTTCATAGCTCAGCTTTTATTAATATTTTAGGTTCTGGAATTAGTATTGGACTTCCTGGACCACCTGGTCCTCCTGGGACAACTTATGCTGATATCTTAAGTTTGCTTGAAGGTAAGCCTTGTCATCCTATCATACCATTTTAAGAGATCATCCTCATAGATGAACAGCTGAAGGATATCCATATTAAAGTTTCCTCTGTTGGATTTGCTTACCATAACCACAAGTCCACCTTGTCATCCACCTTGAATTTGCCATCTTTAATTCTTTATCTGTAGTTCAAACATCTAGATCTCTGTAATATTAATTGAAGCAGACAGCAGAAAATTCAGCTCCACCTCTTTGATATACAACTGATTGCTAGAGTATTTGGGCCTATTTTTCACTTGACAGTGGAAAATGGAAACAGCACAGGGACATATGTGAATGAGCTATAAGACTGTGATCAGAGGTGGCGTTTCTAGCTTGGTATAGATCCTCACAAGCTCCATAACCCCATCACCAGGGTAATCTAAGAACATGAGGTCCTGAAATATTTACTATGATGTAGTAAATTCTTCTGTTCTATCTTCACTTCCCTAAGTGAAGAACTCCAAAACTCTTCTGATCAGACTGCCTAATTTTTTTGGCACAGTTGCCCAAATTGGCAGCAGAGTTGTATCATTCTGAGTCAGGAAACACACAAC